CACAGAGCTATCTCCCCTGCCCTACATTTATTTTTATTAAAATAAGATTTTTGAGGGCCAGCCAGATAGCTCAGCAGATTAAAATGCCTGTTTAGACAGACACAAGGACTAGAGCTTGATCCCCAGTGTGCGGTTCATCTGTCATCCCAGCCCTTGGGAGGCTGAAAACAGGAGGATCACTAAGAGTATGTAATTAGGGGGCCGGGAAATGGCTCAGTAGAATAAGTGCTTGCCTCGCAAGTGCCAGGGCATGAGTTCAATCCCTGGTTCCGCAAAGAAAAAAAAAGAAAACAACAGAGATACTGGAAGATCATTTCAAAAGCTCTGGATAGTCACTTGGAGTGACTGAATGCCATGGCAAAGCAGTATGTATTTTATGTAGTAAAAGTGTTGTATGTCACATACCAAGTGTCAAATGGCACTTTGACACCAATTATAAAAGTGTTGCAGAATTTGGTGAAAGTCTCTTAAAAGGAAACTGAGGGGCCGGGGAGATGGCTCAGTAGAATAAGTGCCTCCCTGGCAAGTGCAAGGGCCTGAGTTCAATCTCCAGTTCCACCAAAGGAAAAGAAAAAGAAACAGAAATATTTCCAACCATCTTTCCGAAACAAATCACCTTAGGGCCAGCTAGATAGCTCAGTGGACTAAGTGCACTAAGTGCTTGCTTGGCCAAGCACAGGGCCCAGGGTTCAATTCCTGGTACCACATGCTGCACTGGCCCCATCACAGAGACGGGGCAGATTACTCCTATAATCTCAGGGAGGCTGAAAACAGGAGGATCATTATGAGTCCGAGCTGCATACTGAGACCCAGTACCAAATACATATAAAAAGAAAAAAAAAACAGAAAGAAACCTACCAAAACAAATCACCTGATAGCTGCCAATTTTTAAATTTCACTGTTGGACCAGCCAGATAGCTCAGTGGACTAAAGTACCTGCTTAGGCAGAGCTCAGCAGCCAGGGTCCCATCCCTGGCATGCAGTACCAGCCCTGCCCCTGGGGCGCGCTGAGATGGTGATTGAAACTGGGCGTGGTGGCACCTGCCTGTAATCCCAGCACTTAGCAAAGCTGAAAACAGGAGAATCGGGGCCAGGGAGATAGCTCGGTAGAATAAGCTCTTGCCTGACAAATGCAAGGGCCTGAGCTCAATCCCTGGTTCTGCAAAAAAAAAAAAAAAAAAAAAAGAAAGAACGAATCACTACAAGTTGGATCTACGTAGTGAGACCCTGTTCTAAATAAAAAATAAAAATAAATTTCACTGTGCATAGTAAAACACAGTAAGCCCCTCTCCAATGAAGATTTTATCAAAATGGCCATGTTGTCTGAGACTGATTTCTCTTTTTTATGATTTCCCAAACAAGGATAAAATCATGCAATGCGGGGCTGGGGATTTAGCTCAGGGGTAGAATGCTTGCCTAGCAAGCTGGAAGCCCTGGGTTCAGTCCTTGGCACCAAAAACAAAAAATAAACCTCCCCTAAAAAAGAATTCAACAACAACAACAAAAAATAATAATTCAACCAAAAAAATACAGTAAAATTAAAATTATGCAATGCATCTCCGAGATGCCACAGCATAAATATAAATACTGTTAAAGATCGAGTCCTGTGCATGGCAAGTAACGTCAGTCAGCAGCTCAGCACTAACTTGCAAAAGCCCCTTATTCCATGTGCGTGTACAAAAGCACAGATGGCAACAATGCAAGACTGTCATTCTACATCATGCTGTCGGTGACCTCATGAGAGGAGCTGGGGAAACTGGTGTCCTTGCCTGGAAGAACAAAAGGATAGCTATCTACAATGCTACGATGGCGGCATCTTTGTCATAAGATGTAAAGCTAAAAAAAAGTGGTTTCAATTATTAGTGAAGAAGCACCACGTGTAGTAAGGGCAGCAACATCTGGTTTCATGTAGTTCTTTGTTAAAGAAGCAAAACATCCAGTCATTTAGTTTCATTATATCAAGAAACTCATTATGAAGCTCTTCATGTCAAGTAAAGCAGCAAAAACTTAAAGACAACATCTTCAAAGATGGTGAATTAAAGGTTGTCTTCTGCTCTTAATTTTTGACAGTTTCAAACACTTCTTGATGAGGTTTGGGCACAGTATAATGCTTTACCTATGTGTTTGTTTGTTGGTTGTTCTTTTTTTGAGGCAGGGAGGCAGGCTCTCACTATGTAGTGCAGGCTGGCCTTGAACTTACTTATGTAGCCGGGGCTGGAATGCCTCACTTATGTACAGTAATGTCCACGGCTGAGCAGAGGACAAGTCCTGGAGAGACTTACAGCCTACCTGGATGAAATTAAGCTGCTAATGAATGAGAAAGGGCAAGGAATATCCACAGCTCACTGATATGGCCTAACTTAACAACTTGATTTTTTACACCACACTTTGAAGTACTGGACAAAAAGCTGCAAGGTAGAGGGAAAACAGCAGAAAAGATACTAAAACATTTGTGATATCAAAATATTTGAGAGAAAACTGCAGGTTTTTGAAAGAGATGTTAAAGTAGGCAGCATAAATATGTTGCAAATCTCAAATGCACTAAAACTGTACATTTGCCAACAATTCTACAAGCCATCAGAAAACCTACAAGGAATTTTCTAGCTTTGTAGCAGTTGCAAAGGAGAAATTTTAGTTAACAGATTTTTACAGTCCTGTAAGATGGAGACAAACCTGTGGTTTCTTACTTCTCCAGATAAAGCCATATTTGAAGAATTAGATCTTTCCTGCTTATGCTGGTTATATTTTAGAAATCTGGAAATGGAGCCGTTGGAATTTAAAGAAAGCTCTATCTAGAGAAATACATTTTATGACCTGCATGCAACAGTTGGGAGAAGATAAGAGTATGAACAGATAACTGAGGACAGCAGAGTTGGTACTTCTGAATGTGAAATATAGCTCAGTGGCAGAGCACCTGTGTGGCAAGCATGAAGTTGTGAGTTTGATTCTCAGTACCAAAAAAAAAAAAAAAAAGTCTCTGTTAATGAAAGCAGCTGGGATTGATTTTCTTACTTTAGTTTGGATCATCTTAGGCTTTGAGCAGCTGTTTTTAGAAACAGAGTAACTGATGATCTGAGTGTTGCTCTCAATCTAATGAAACTATGAGCTAAATTTTGACAAATTATCAGCATACAGAGCCAGTGAGGTAGCTCAGCAGACTAAGTGCCTGTTTAGGCAAATGCAGGGACCAGGTTCAATCCCCAGCACCATCGTGCCAGCCCCACCCCCAGGTGCTGAGCCAGCCCACCGAGACCCTGCGTGGTGGCACGTGCCTATAATCCCAGCACTGGGGAGGCTGAAAACAGGAGATCACTACAAGTCCAAGCTGCACAGTGAGACTCTGTACCAAATACATCAAAACAAAACAAAACAAAACCTCAAAACTCCTAAAACCTCAGTATTTACTTTTAAATGCAGTACTGGCATTTTGCATTAAATTTGTGGGCTTTGGGTTGTAGTTTGGGCATTTGGTTCCTAAAATGTTTGCATCACTGAACTAAGATATGTCTTCATATATATAGTGATACCTCAATTCATGAACTTAATTTGTTTTACAATTTTGGAAAAGATGGCCACATTTGTGTATGTGCAGAAAAGATGGCTGTGGTCGTGTCACCTGATGCAGTTGGCAGACAAAAACAAAATTTTGCCAAACTTGTTTGTAAACCAAACTGTTTGCAAATGAGAGCACTGGTGAACCAAAATACCATTGTGCTTGTCATTTGTCTCCAGTTGGATCTGAGGACCCTTCCCCAAAATAGAGACAGGAAAGCCTGAAACTTCCTTATAACATTCTCTCATGACAACAAGCAAAATGTCACCATATGGGACACACAATTATTAATTTGGTCTACATATGTTTGAGTGGCTAAATATGGCAGAAACTCTGAAGGCAATGGAGATTCAGAGGTAAAAACACATGGTTCCAAATGTTGATTGAGGGCTGAGGAGATAGCTCAGTGGCATAAGCGCCTGCCTGGCAAGTGAAAGGTCCTGAATTTGATCCCCAGTACTGTATGCTGTGCCAGCCTGAAACCAGGCGTGGTGGCACATGCCCTAATCCCAGAGCTGGGAAGGCGGAGACAGGAGGATCACTGAGTCCAAACTAACATAACGAGACCCTGTATCTAAGTCGTATTTTTTTTTTTTTTTTTAGGACAGGGTCTACAGGGTCTCACTGTGTAGATCGGACTCATAGTGATCCTGTTTACAGCCTCCCAAGTGCTGGAATTATAGGCGCCCTAC